GTGATCCTCTATAAGTTCTGTATTGCACAGGATTGTTTTGGCTATCCTGGGATTTTTCTTTTACCATATGAAGTTGAGTATTATTTTTTCAAGGTTTGTGAAGAATTATGTTGGGATTTTGATGAGTATTGCATTGAATATGTTGATTGTTTTGGGTAATATTGCCATTTTACTATGTTAGTCCTGCCTATCCATGAGCATGGGAGATCTGGCAATAAAAATAGACACATGGATCAATAGAATCTAATCAAAGACCCTGACATAAATCCACATACCTATGAACACCTGATTTTTGACAAAGAAGCCAAAATTATACAATAAATAAAAGAAAGCATCTTCAACAAATGGTGCTGGCATAACTGGATGTCAACACGTAGAATGAAAATAGATCCATATCTATCACCATGTACAACACTCAAGTCCAAATGGATTAAAGACCTCAACATAAATCAAGTTACACTGATCATGGTAGAAGAAAAAGTGGGAAGTAGCCTTGAACACTTTGGCATAGGAGACCACTTTCTAAATATAATACCAGTAGCACAGACACTGAGATCGACAGTTAATAAATGGTACCTCCTAAAACTGAGGCACTTCTATAATGCAAAGGCCACTGTCAATTAGACAAAACAGCAGCCTACAAAGTGGGAAAAGATCCTCACCAATCCTACATCTGACAAAGGGATGATCTCGAAAATATATAAAGAATTCAAGAAGTTAAATATCAAAATACCAAATAATCCAATAAAAATAGGGTACAGATCTAAACAGAATTTTCAATAGAAGAATCTCAAATAGATGAAAGACACTTAAGGAAATGCTCAACACTTAGTTATCAGGGAAATGAAAATGAAAATGACTCTGAGGTTCCATCTTACACCAGTCAGAATGGCTATGATCTAAAACACTGATGACACCTTATGCTGGTGGGATTGCAAACTTGTACAGCCACTTTAGAAACTGTTATGGTGCTTTCTTATTAAATTGGGAATCAATCAACCTCAAGATCCAGCTATACCAATTTTAGGCATATACCCAAAGGATGCACACTCAAACCACAAGGGCACTTGCTCAACTATGTTCATAGCAGTATTATTTGTAATAACTAGAACCTGGAAACAACCTAGATGCACCTCAACTGAAGAATGGATAAAGAAAATGTGGTACATTTACACAATGGAGTACTACTTAGTTATAAAAAATGATGACCTCATGAAATTTGCAGGCAAATGAATGGAACTACAAAAAAAAATCATCCTGAGTGAGGTAACCCAGACCCAGAAAGACAAACAGGGTGTGTACTCACTCATAGGTGCTTATTAGGAGTAAAGTATATAAGTAACCAAGCTACAATCCACAGCCCCAGAGAAGCTAGATTACAAGGAGGGCCCAAAGACGGATGCTTGGATTTCCCTGGGAAGGAGAACTAGAAAAGATTTCCTGGGTAAACTAGAGCAGGGGTTGGGGGGATAGAGAGATGGGAACTAGAGGAGCGGGTTGGGCAGACTGGGTGTGGGAGGTGGGTCAGAAGCGGGATGGAGGGGGAAAGTAACAAAAAGACTTCTTAATGGGGGTGCATTTTGGGGTTAGGAAGAACCCCCCTAACCCCAGAGAAACCCCCAGGAACCCATGACCCCAACTAAGACTCCTAGCAATGGTGGAGAGGGTGCCTGAACTGGTCATCTACTGTAAGCAGGTTGGTGACTTCCCTAATTGCCATCATAGATGCTCTATCCAGTGACTTATGGAAGCAGAGGCAGAGAAATGTATTTTACTGAATCAGCAAAAATGGTCTGTCATGGTCTCAGTCTCGGTCTCTCTCTCTCTCTCTCTCTCTCTCTCTCTCTTTCATACATCTTTTTTACTTCAGATTTATTTATTTTTATTTATTTATTTTTATTTATTATAAAATTTATTATTATAAATTTTTATTTATTTATTTTTATTTTATGTGCATGTATGTCTGTGTGAAGGTGTCAAATACCTGGAACAGGAGTTACAGACAGTTGTAAGCTGTCATGTGGGTACTGGGAATTGAACTATCTCTCCAGCCCCATGGTCTCTCTTTTTATACATGCGATAATTCATTAACGTTTTTTTCCCCCATTTTACAACTAAGAAAACTGAAAGAGAGGTTAAAACTCACCCACAGCTGCATAACTAGCAGGGAACAAAACCACACCCTGATTTTCATTGAAGTCCAATGCCAGAACCTGGCCCCTATACAACTAAACCACCTGCATTATAAGTCCAGCCACCTGAGCTGGGGAGTAGCATTGGGGGTAGGGGAGGAGGGCCCAGGAAACACATGAGTCTCAGCCTATGACAGTCACTTCCCCAGAGTGACTATGCCACACAGCCCTTTTAATTCCCAAGCAATAACTGCCTGAGTAGGCCCACCATGGCCACCACCTGGTCACCACCATGGCCACCACCATGGCCACCACCTGGCCACCACCACACCACCATGGCCACCACCATGGCCACCACCTGGCCACCACTGTGGCTAGCTGCTCAGGTTCAGGTGCACTCTCCCACTTTCCCTTTGGGAGTATTTGTTCATTTTCTAGATGTCCTTCCGCCTACAAACTACCAACCTCCAAATACCTTAAATAGTTCTTCATGTGTGCCTGGGAAGGCTTCAGATTAAAAAACATGTGCAGGGTAAAATCCTCCCTAGGCCACTAGGGAAGAGCGCTCGGTACAGAACACATGCACAGCAGATTGAGGAGCACCCCAGGAACCCCAGGAATCCCACGGCCTTCCTCCTCATCCACATCAGCACAGATGAGAAGCACACACTGACAGAAGCTCAGCAAGCCACCCAGAAACACATTTCCAGGCATGGAGCCAAGGGTTGAGGCTAAGCTGACTTCCTAACACAAGCCCTGCCTGTTACTGATGCTCAGAGCAGTGTCTCTGAAGACTTAAGTTCTTAGAGCCAACATTACACTGCAGAACTCCAGTGAGGTCAGGTGAGAGGAGAGACCAGGTGAGGAAACACGCAACTAGAACCAATTTACTTCTGCCTCTGACCAGGCTCAATGGCCTAGAGCAGTGTTTTCACCCTTCCTAATGCTGAGACCCATTAGTACAGTTCCTCATGCTGTGGTGACCCCCCAACCATGAAAGTATTTTCTTACTACCTCATAACTGTAATTTTGTTATTGTTATAAATCTAATGTGAATATCTGTGCTTCCTGATGGTCTTAGGCAATCCCTGTAAAAGGGGGTGTGACCCACAGGTTCAGAACAGCTGCCCTGGAGCTACATGTGAGGATGCAAAGGGGAAGAATTCAAGGAATGCAGACAGGAGGTCACATGACTGTGGCAAATTACAGGTGCATAAAAATCACTCACACCACAGCACTGCACGTAATTCTGGGCACCTGGATAGGGTCTGTACATGCTTTTCCCCTGGCCTTATTCAAAGCAGTTTCAAAGACCCACAAGTGTTACAGTTTTAGACAGAAACGTCACCCACAGGATCATGTTTTAGTACTGGGCACCCAAGTGTGGCCATGTTTGGGAGGGTACAGAACCTTTGGAATACGCAGCCTAGGAAACAGAAGTGGGTCTTCAAGATGATACCCCCTTCAGGAACCAGAGTGAGTCCTTTGCTTCCTGTCGGCTGCAGTGACTTAAGCAGCCACATTGCCATTTCCTGTCTGCTGCAGTGATGTAAGCAGCCACATTGCCATTTCCTGTCTGCTGCGGTGATGTAAGCAGCCACATTGCCATTTCCTGTCTGCTGCAGTGATGTAAGCAGCCACATTGCCATTTCCTGTCTGCTGTGGTGATGGAAGCAGCCACACTGCCATTTCCTGTCTGCTGCGGTGATGGAAGCAGTCACACTGCCATTTTCTGTTGGCTGCAGTGACTTAAGCAGCCACATTGCCATTTCCTGTCTGCTGCAGTGATGTAAGCAGCCGCACTGCCATTTCCTGTCTGCTGCAGTGATGTAAGCAGCCGCACTGCCATTTCCTGTCTGCTCTACAGTGAAAATGGAGGAAGGAGGTGAAATGAGCAGTGACAGGTGCCAACTGTACGTGCATAGATAAAATGTGTCCACAGGAGAACAAACTCAGAAAAAACTGGATGTTTTCAGAGGAGCTGTGATTCTTAATTCATCACAGTTTATTTAATAAGATATAAACAACATCACAGAGAAAATTAATTAGTGGCTCTTAAATAAAAATAGACTCAATAGTATTTGTAGTTAGAGAAACGCGATTGAAAAATAACCCACAAGCCTAATTTTTATCTTGTGATACTATGGGACCCAAAACTTTGCTCCCTTAGAAACATAGCTGGGAGCTATATTTCCCGCAATGCTGTGGGGCCTGTGCAGGACATATGAAGGGCACAGCCTGCCCTTGCCTGCCCTTGCGTGCCTTTGTTCCAGCAAATGCACTCAAGAGAGAACACAATGGCAGGCACTCAAGTTACGCACTGGGAGTATCACAAAAGACTGAAAACCTCCTTAACATTCAGCCTCTGGCAGAGTGGTTAAACCAGTCCTGGTGCAGTCGGACCAGAACACGTCAGGAGCTACTAGCAAGAAGATGGCAACCCTGGTTACACGTACACAGAACCCTGCCAGGATGTAGAGTGGTATGCGGAAGAGAGGAGGAATATGCATGCATGCACACATCTGCCTTGGGCACACAGCATCTCTGCAACTGTTTATAGTCAAGCTAACAGGGAGCAAACTGAGCTACAGACAAAGGAGAATGCTCATCAGTTAACCTTATTTTGAAGCATATGCATATGTGTAGTTCATACAAAGAAGCACATCAAATGAAAATGCATAAATCCAATTTCCTTTGGCACTCTGTTTTCATTTAACTAAAAATATGAGTAAGGTGTGGAGGCTAAGGCAGGAGGACTCCAACTTTGAAGCCTATCTGGGCTGCATACAGAGTAAGACCATTTCTCACAAACAACAGAATGTAGAACATTCTGCACATGCTTGCCTCTCCATCCCTTGCCCCGTCTACCTTGCCAGTGCCTGGACCTTTGTGGAATGGCGCTCCTGCTGCTCTGCCACCCTCCTCTTCAAGGCGTCCACCTCTTGCCGGAGTGCAGCTGAGTGCTCCATCTCACCATCAAGGAGATTCCGCAGTGACCTGGAAAAGAGGGCCCCACAGTTCAGAGGCTACTCACCCAGCCCACTTCATCGCTGCCCACAGGCTCGCACAAACCACAATGCAGTTCCAGCTCACGTAAACGGACGCTGGCAGACAGCAAGTCTGAGCCTGGTGACTGCACTGAGTCCCAGGGCAGTAACCTGTGGTCAGACTCGGGGACCTTGCTCCTGTGACAGCTTAGATCAAGGGGAAACCAGGAGCTCAGCAGATGCCAGGGAGGCGCTTTAAAGACGCTCCATTCAGAGCGTAGCTTGTTAAACGGAAGCTCTAACCCAGCCTCAATGGGAACAGATCTCACAAAGGGAAGAGTGCCAAAACAGGCCAAATGAATATTCTGCAGCAAAAAAAAAAAAAACCCACAGAACACTTGCTCAGATTCCATGATATTTCATCCTGTTTCCACTGCTGCCCATAGAATAGACCAGGACTCGCAGTCCACAGTCACCTCCATGATAAGCTAGAATGCATGGCATTCTATTAGACACAGCACACGCTAAGCCAGTTTGTATGGTATTCTAAGGAGTGCATATTAGCACAGCATTATCTTATCTTCCTATACTTCTTAGCTCTTATGGTATGCCCATTCACATATACATTTGTTATCCACAGAAAATGACCAGGGGTAGCAGTTCTAGGAAGGGTCACAGGTTACCACACTGAGGTAAATCAAATACGGTTCTGACTCACTGTACCTAAATGACTGTTTCTAGGAAATCAACTGTGATGTATTTATAGGCCACATCCAGAGGACGCCTACCATGAACATCAGGGTGTATCAAATACGCCAAGCCCCCACAGTGCCCCACCACTGAGCTCTCTCTAAGACCTGCCGTGTTCACTGGGAGCTTGGAGAAGATTCCCCTCCTGAAATATCCTGGTGCATCCTGTCTGTAAGGAAACAGTCAATATACCATCGCTGCCATTCTTCACAAGGGAAGATAAAACCCACGGCTGCATCCAAGAGCATCACTCCAGCTAGAGCAAGGAAACCAACCTTGAAGTGGCCAGCAGCCGTTTGTTGAGAATGCATGCTAGCTGAAAGTGCACTGCTGTTTTAGAAATCAAACTTATTTGCTTTTGTACGGCTCTACAAAGGACGATGGGCAGCTGGTCAGTTAGATCCAAAATAAGGTCTAAGAGAAAACTGTAACTGCTCTCACCAGTAAAGGAGAGGAGGTGGCCTGTGCACCACTTCCCTGAGTCAGGCAGCCTCCCAGTGCCCACTGGCTTTTGTGAATAACCTCAGGCAAGCCTGTCACTGGCTACCCCAGCCTCAACACAGACTCTGGTAGGAGAATGTCAACTTCAGACACTCACATGGTGGCAACTGGTAGTATCTAGAATGGATCTCAATAAAGAAGAAGAAGAAACTTAAGAAAGCACTTGGCCTCTTGGAGTTGACCACACTGGACTTTGGCCAAATTTAAGAAGAATCCAAATGTCATCCTGTCCCAGGAATTCCCAATTTGAGTGGAACACAGAAAATATACTCTCAGTTAAAGGTCACTTCAAGAGTATTCTTTGGGCAGGGAGCTGGACAGAAGTGGTGTGGCATTTCTTCCTAAGTGATAAAACTATTCTAATATTGGCATGGCAATAGCTGCACGTATCTGAGAATATACACAAACCCACTGCATTGTGGGTATGTGGATGACATCAGTGAAAGCTGTCATTAAAGGATGCTCCTCCACATTCCTGTGTTGGAAGGTGGCAGCATTGCTGCTTTGATCCCTTGCTTATATGCAAGCCACAGCAGATCTACTGAAGTGGCCTAGTCCAGAGAAGTAAGAAATCTGTTAAGACCCCAGCACCCAAATCAGACAACTTGAAACTGCCTGTAACTCCTGCTCCAAGGCAGCCAGTCCCCTCTTCTGGTTTTCATTGCACATCCACATGCGCGCACAAAGACACAGACACACACACACGTAAGAATTTAAAGTAATAATAATAGTAAGGTAAGGAGCTTGGCAGTAAAGCACCATTCTCTCCATTCATTGGTTCTGCCACTAGGGACAGAAAGTCAGAGAAAGAGGCAGCCATGATGTCACAATACCCGTTCTCTTCTTCCAGTTCATCTTTTCTGTTCATCATGGCCACGATGGCTTGGCGTAGTTCATCTGAGGAAAGAAAGCAAAGGCAATGCTATGAGCAGACAATCCTGTAAGTCATCTGTCCCCTATCCTCTCTGCAGTACATGAGCAGAAGCTCCTGCCAGTCGTCTGTCCCCAGTCTCTCCAGTACATACCGCTGCAGATGGCTTGTCTAGGTAAGTCCCTGTTCCCTAGAAAGGATTCTTTTACAGCCTCCGACACACAGTGTGTTCACTGTCACTCTCACCCAAACAAACAGAAGGGAGAGGTGAAAAGAGAGCTAATGTGTGTTGGGAAGAAGGATGGGTTCCTGGGAAAAACATACTCAGCTTACAATTTCTGAGTGCTTTCCCAAGTCTTTGTTCCTGGACAATGTCTGTTGTGAACACTGAATTGTTCCTCTTACAGTTGTTTATCAGCCCAGACAGCAGATCAGGTAGTACTCAGCTCCATGCTTGCATAAAGACAGTCCATCAAGGTTAGCAAACTTCTGGCTCCACACTGCCTTCTGAGGGTAGCAGACAGCCGATAGAGGACTACATTACACACACAGTACACACTGTACAATTACTCGGAGAGCTACCCCTCTAGCCTCCTTCACACAGGAAAGCATTCAAGGACAGGGAATGACAATATGCATCCATACTTCCTAGCTCCATCAAGCTTAACCATTGGTGCTGTGTGCATGCAGAAGGCATGGCCAGATCTTAGCTGTATCTCAAGATCCAGAGATCACAGAGTTGTTTTATCTGTTTTCTTTACTTGATTTCATCTTATGGTGGCTGCTAGGAAGTGCAGGGGCCAAATCACACACCTAGTAGTAGTCTGTAACTATGTCCAAGAGTCTACACTATGTCTAGAACCACCTACATGGATCCAAGTGGTGAGGTCACAACGGGTGCCCAAAGGTTCAATAGCCAGCTTTGTGTTTTAAGACCAGAAGCATTGATGATCTTAGCAAATTTCCTCAATTTTAAAATCTTTCATAATACAAAAAAATAATTAGGAAATACCTTTCCATAAAATTTATTAAGAAGAACTAGAAATTCTTATTAGGAATGACCCTCTAGGAAGAGGGTGAGACTAGAAACAAGAAGGTTATCAATCTGTGGTACAAGCAGCCCTGAGAGATAGAAAGGAGATGTTAGGAGAAGGCCTAGGGCAGAAAACAGGCAGAACTGAACCATTGAGCACCTAGCCATGCTCTGCCTGCAAACACAAGGACCCAGGGTTCACACATTCAATTACTCATTCATCTACCAAGAACAGACGAAGTTCAAATACCTTCCCAAAGAGGCAGGCTCCCACCTGGTCCAAGGAAGGATCTTAATGGAGAGTAACAACGGCCATCACAAGCCTACGTGAAGCCAACTCAGTGAGGTATCCCTGGTCACTAGGGTCCCTGCTCAGGGCCTCACACCTGAGTTTCAGCCTCTCTCAGTGTCCTTCCTCCAGAAATGAGGGAGCAGCATCCCTCTCACCTCCTTGGAAGCCAGGAGGATCCGAGGAGACTGAGAAAGAGTGTCTTTGACGGTACTTCTCATAGGCTATAGCAGGAAGTCCAGAAGGACCTGCTGCTAGGCTGCAGAACTTTACTCTAATTGATAATCTTTAGAGAAAAAAGCAAAGCAAGTGATTTATCCCCAGGTCACTGTGGCTATGAAGGAAAATACAACCAAACAAATGAATTGTTCTATCAGCAGCAGGGAGGATAAAGCACTCTAGGCTCAGTCTTCAGGCAAGCCAGGCCAGTGCTGTGGGCACAGTGGACACAGGCCTCATTATTCCTCTACTCAAGGACCTGCACGGGTTCTGAATTTTCCTCTAGGCTTTCTTCCTCACTGGAGTTCTTAGCTAGCCTGAACTACTCACTGATGAGCAAAGGAACGAATGCTCTCAGTTGCCATCCGGAGCTGGAAGGCACAAGATCTCCTAAAGCAAGATCCTGCACGTTTGCCAGTAGTCTGCCTGCCCTTCTCCAGCTCTGCACTAACACATCTGGTTTACACTCATGAACTGCACTGCTGTACCCAAGCTGGGACCAGAGTGCAGCAGATGACAGCAAGGACACCTCCACCACCGCTGTACTCAGGAACGAGTGGCCTGGACAAGGCAAGGCACACTGGCAAGTCCTGTCTCTCCATTCTGCTCTGCCCCTCCCCTCCCAGGGGGTACAGCTCAGCCACATGAGCACGCCCCTGGGCATCTGTGTAGAACCACCATCCCTAGCTCAGCCACAGTGACAGTATCTGTCTGGCCAGAGGCCAACTGAGGGGTCTCCAGATGATCCTGACTGCCCCACTGTTGCCCAACCAGTGGTCAGACTTCCCTCTAAGTTGCAAGTTATTACACACATGTTATCTCACAGATTTCCTGGTCAGAATCCATCTCTCTTCATATTAAATCCCCCACTGACATTCTTACATGAGAAAACCCCAGCTCACCACCCCAGGCCCTGGTAGTGGGGAGCCTTTTTGGAAAGCTTGCCTAAGACCCCTTGCCCTGCAGCAGCTACAGGTAGGAGATGTGAGTCGCCTTGCTCTTCCCTTGCGCACACAGGTGCTGACAGAATACAGACCATGCTGCACACCTCAGTGCCTGGAATCCCTTCTTTTTTTTTTAATATTTATTTATGGTTTATTTAACTTTATTTTTGTGGCATTGGTGTGAAGGTGTCAGATCTCCTGCAACTGGATCTTCAGACAGTTGTGAGCTGCCATGTGGGTGCTGGGAATTGAACCCGGGTCCTCTGGAGGAGCAGTCAGTACTCTTAACCCCTGAGCCATCTCTCCAGCCCCCTGGAATCCCTTCTTACTGCATGTTTAACTAACGTGTTTGAATTTGATCCAGAAAAATGAGTGGCCAGGGAGGCCATTCTGATCTAACCTTCCACACTTCTAAAACCAACAGCAAAGCCGAAAGACTAATGTCACATGCTTTCTCTTATATGTGGAATCTAGATTTGAGTGTGTGTGTGTGTGTGTTTGTGTGTATTGTGCTTCTATATGTGTGTGCCTGTGTTTCTGTGTGTGTATCCGTTTCTGTGTGTTTGTACCTGTGTGTCTCTATATGTGTGTGTTTCTATATGTCTGTGGCTGTGTTTCTGTGTGTGTGTGCCTGTGTGTCTGTGTGAGTGAATATGTGTGTGCCTGTATGTCTGTGTGTGGGGGGGGGTGATGGAAAAAGGCCGACGAGGAGAGGGAAGGAAAAGAGAAGCAGTGGTAAGAAGGTAATACAATACATGTGTGTGGTAAGAAGGTAATAC